CCCCGCCGCGCCGCGCCCGGCTGTTACCTCCTCCCCGGCCTGGAAGTCGTCCATGTCCCCGGTGGAGCCCCACACACCGCAACCTCCCCACCAGCTCCGCCGCCGCCGCCTTGCCCCCCGCGCCCGCCGCGCAGCGCCCCGCACTGCGCACGCGCGGCGCCTTCCCCYGCTCGAGCTCCGAGGCGCCTGCGCAGTGCGGCCCGCACGCCGCGGGAGGGGAGCTGCGCCTGCGCGCCCCCGCGGCGCCCTGCCCTTGGCCGCTCACTCGACGCCTGCGCAGTGCCGCGTAGCGACGGGCGCGTAGCAACGCGGAGCGCCGCGCGCGGCGCCATGGCGCGTTCCCATAGTAACGGGCGCGGGTGGGGGCGGCGGCCCCGCGTGGGACGAAGCCGCGTCATGGCGCGGGCCGGGGCCGGGCCGGGCTTTGCAGCCTCCGGAGTTAGAGGCTGCGCAGGGCGTTTCTAGAGGCTGTGCAAACGGTGCAGCTGACATAAGTGCTGGCAGGGGGCACTGAAGTTTGTCTCGGCCTCAGGGAACTGGAGAAGCGCTTGGAACTAAACAGTGCGGTTGGATAGGGACGAAGGCAAAGGAATGTGTGTAGGGATAACCAGTTTGGTAGATGCAGGATGAGGAGCAGCTCTCGCAGTAGCCTTTCCACAGAAAAGAACACAAAGGGATTTACCTGGGATTTACCCATGTAAACATGGGATAAGCAAGGGAAACATGGGATTTRCCGGAGTCATTTGTGTGATACTCCTGTTTAAAATAAAGTTGCTGCCATGGTGAGCCTGGCAGATGGAAGTCGAGCTCAGGCGACACGTGAATTTCTGTGCCCCTCTGTACAGCCAGCCTCCCTGGGAAACCTCTAAAACCGCCGAGAACCGCAGCAGTCCTAGACACTTGGGAAGGCTGTGAACCTGGCCCTGGATGCATGGAGAGGCCGGAGCTGCTCCGTGGGGAGGAGCGTCCCCTCGGCCTCCACCCTGCACCTCTGCCCCGGGGGGCTGCCCCATGCTTAGCCAAAGGAGCAGAGCCTGCAACYAGGTGTAAAATAGGTGTAAACTCAGCTGCAGTTCTCCATGCCCATGGATGCCAGGGGAGAACATAACAGCATAAAAATGCAGCAGCGAGGTCATTGGGGAAGTGTGAGGGGAGCCCGAAACGTGAGGATGGTGCCTGGGGCGGCTGGCCTTCATCAATGGCAATCTTCTTACAGAGAGAATGGTTTCTGCCCTGTCTCTCACAGATGTAGTTGTTGCCCTGAGGTACGGAGTCGGATGGGGTGATTTCCTGAAGTCTCTTCCACAGTCTTGCCTTGTGATCCTGTGAATCTCTCACTCTGGGTGGTTAYAGTCCTCAGGTTATTTCAGATCTTTAATTCAGTTATTTTTGCTCCAAATGGAGGGCCAAGTCAATCCACTGTTCTTTGCTGGGTGTAGCTCTCTACCCACCAGCAGCTGTCTTCTCTTCCACAGTGGAAAACTGTTGGAGAACATGATTATAAGTGATGTGCACAGGTGGAAGTGTTTGAATCAGCTGAGTTTAACCATGAAATTAATTAMTTAATTTTGACTAATTTTGGTGTGTAAATAGAGTAGGTAAAGCAGTCATTTCACTCCCTCCCTCCTTTGATTCAAAATGTCATTTCCTAAAACACCCTAAAACACTAAAGTGGGCATCTGTGTTTTACATGTACTTCATGTGCTTGCCCGGTAGAGTCAGGAAAAAGAAAGGAGATTGACCTGCAACACAGCCCGTCTTCTCTTCCAGATTTTGAAGTAATTTAAATGAAATTTTGAACTTCATGATACTTAATTCTGTAATAGGCATCTTATCCAACTAATATTTTTTGTTTTTTATCATATTTAAAGTTTATTACTTGTGAAGTAGAATCTTTTTTCTACTTTTTATAGATGCTTAAAATTATTTATTTTGAACTGTCTACCTTTGTCATGTATGCTGAGTGTTTTTTCATTCCAAAATGAGTACAAATCCGTTTTCTTTCTGCGGAAGGTCTATTTGTGAAACGAGTGGTGCTTTCTATGCAAGTCTGGAGACGCTGAGGTTAGCAGCATATTCACATCTATACTGTCAGAAAAAGAAATGATGCAGAACTCAAAGCCACTCGGTTTCCTGTGTGTGACTTGAACACGGAGCCTATTTTCTTATCAGCCGTCTGTAAGGTTCTCTTGGGTAGACTCTGTGATGTTAGAGGGATGACAAACTTCCCTTTGCTTGTTAGTGCTCTTGCTGGTAGCAAAGCCAGAGGTTTTGCAGAAGTTGTGGAATTCCTGGAGCTCTTCTTGGAGCGCAGATACTTGGAGGCTTGGTGGGAATGCCCATCTGTATAAGCTGCAGCCTAATTTTGGTGCCCAAAGGAAGGAAAGGGAGGAGGAGAAAAGCCAGCAGTGTCTTCAAGGAGAGATAAGTAAGTGCTCCACTCATCTCTCAAAAGCAGTTACTTCCACACACCTTTCTTTGATGGCTGCTGAAAAGGTAGGAATATCTTTTTTAATCTGTATGATACTACAGAGGGGAATGCATTTGAACTTACAGGTGTTGTGTTTATTTAGACTGCAAWGATTTCAAGGGAACACCAGGAAATGGAGCTTTAAAGAGTTTGTTTTGCCTTTAAGTGTTCGGGTGGGAAGTTATTACAACCACAATATACAACTTGCACAAAGCATTACCAGATAATTTGCATGTGTGCATGCCTGGATGGGAAAACTAAGCTGTTGCAGGCAAGCAGTATAAAATAACACTTGTATATATTTTTAATAAGGATATATTWTTTTTGGCATGTGGAGAATGGGAAATAACCATAAATTACAGTAGCATTTGGGATCATTTTGACTCTGAACTTTCCTAATGTTGCCGTATCATACTCTTTTCTGAGGTTAATGGCTGAATAATCCAGCTCTCTCAAGTAAATGAGGACTCTGACTTTCAAAATTCAGCGTGTTTAAACTTGCTGCATTGTCATTATTTTGGTGATGCCTGAGGATATAAAAAGAACTAGTAAAACTTTAATTCGTACTTGTTGCTCAACCATTCTGGACTTGCATTAGTTACAGAAGTTACCTGATCTGTAAAAAAAATAGTTTGAATTACGTACGCCTTAATTTAAAAGGGAGATCAATAATGTATTACACACAAAAGCTTTTTCCAAAGCAGTTTGCCAGGTCAGGCATTCTCAAATTTAAAAATGTAAAAAAGTAAATACCTTTTGCAAACTTAATCTTTGGTGACATAACTGTGTACTATTTTAAACCTATTTTAAAAGGAAAAAACATAGTCTTTGAAATTTGCAGATCTTTTTATCCTAGGTGATTAGCCAAAGGAATCCTAGCCCTTTTATTCTAGCCCCGTTTGACCACCTGCTGCTGGTATTAGATCCCGATTTATTGCTGTGAATAGAGGTGCAGCAGTAGATCCACTGGGTGGAATTACAGTGTTTGAAGTGTTACCTATGGGCCAAGGTCAAGTGCCTTTTTCAAGACTCCTGCCTCGACTCGGGCCGCCCCAAATCTGTGGCGTGTGGCTGAAAGGCCAACAGAGCGAGGACAAGAGAAGGCTACACGCTCTTTGCTCCCCCCACCCTTTAGCGTTTCACCATCATGATTAGCTGAAATTATCACTTCATAAAAATTTGTGCAAGACTCTAAGTAAGATTCAATGTACTCTTAATATTTTTCATACACTGAGGTGTCATCTGAAATTTGTTTCCYTAAATAAGCCTGAAATTTGGAAATCTTTGTGCTGTTCAGTAAAGAAGAGAGACAATATTTTTTAAGAATTTTATCAAGTAAGAACTGTTGGTTGGTTGYTTACCTGTAGGAGTTTTTAATAACTCTCTTGCAACGGCGTGTCCGTAGCAGCACTTTGAAACACTCAGCAGGCGCCGTCCTGGGCCGGGTGCCTGGAGCAGGTTGTTCTGTTTGTTCTTGTGGATTTTGTGCATGTCTGTATTGACGCACGTGGCGACGGCTGCCGTGCCGTGGCTCGCTTTCCCCGGGGCTCCTCAGCGGGGTTTCAGCGACACTCCAACCGCGGTAGCTGCTGGAGGTCCCGGGAGTTTGTGGAGCGCCGGGCGCTTATGGAGCACGGACTGCTGCAGTGGGTGCCAGGTATCCTGGCAGGGCAGAGCCCCTCTGCTTGCCCTGACCGCCCCTCAGCTCCACCGAAATAGAATCGAGGTCTCTAAATGCACTAGACACTTCTTGGAGTTAGTCTCACGCGAAGGATTAAAGAAGGTGACTATAGGTTGCCCTTTGAGAAGGACGTTTATTGTGTTAACACATCCAGCTATGTAATTTCCTGTGCAATTGCAGTTGGCAAGGAAATTAAACATGATTGAGCATATCTCTGTCTCATTTGTTTCCACAGGAAACCAACCTCTTTTTTTTTCTTTCTTTCTTTCCTTTTTTCTTTGCTAGCACTGCTGTGCGACGCCTTGGCCRGTTGTTGCCCCTTGAAGGGTTTCATGAAAAAAAGGTCAAAAAATTGAGTGCATCCTGTTTGTAAACAGAAACAATCACCTCCAGCTTGTGTGTGTGTGTGTGTGAAATTAAGTAGCTGAATTATGAAGCTATATGCAAAGTAATTCCCTCTACCTATAGAAATATTAAGATTTTATATCTGATTTTTAAAAAAACTTTTATAACATTTAAATATAATCATCTAGCAAAGTAGATACTTGATGAGATTCTCAGCTGAGGTCCATCAGTGAAACATTACTCTGCTTCAGTAAAAATCTGCACACTTCCAGTGGGAAGTTTGACTGCTTGTATTTAGCTCACAGATTAAATTTGGAATACATGAGCTTTTCTCATACATACATCTTAGAGATTTGATGTACTTAAACTGGAACACTTCCATTTCTCATAATTCACACTAAACACTAGACAGCATAAAATACGGTGTATAAACTAACTGTTTTCTTTAGTGTAAAGTATATATATATGTTTTATGGGAATTTTACAAAAGTGAAGGTCAAAGAATTTATCCAAAGGGCAGCTGTGGTTCTCATATGTTTGAGGAAAAAAATTGTCGGTACACTGAACTGTAAATAAAATGTATCCTCTCAACTCATTTCTGTTTGTGTGTATTAGCAAAGATAATTGTACTGCTTTGTGATAAACTGTTTATCTAGACTTAGCAGAAATTAGATAATTGATAGAAGTGAATCTTTAAGGGCTTCTGTGTTTAAGTGTTTCTTTCTTACTAGACTTGTGCTATTTTGTCTTTCCATAAGATAAGATTAGAAAGGGGCATTTTTTGGCATCCTAACCAGGATGCCAAAAAACAGATGCCCTGGAGCAGCAGAGCTCATGTTTGCACTCAACTGAAGCTTATTTGCAGGTTCTTTATTTATTTATTTATTTTTTTTAAAAAGTGTGAAGGTACATGTCTGAATGTTAATGGACATTTTGGTGAAATCGTTTGCAGAAAGGGTCCGTCTTAACTTCTATGGTATCTTCATTAATGTGCAAAGGTCTATATGAGAATTGCAAAGTGTTTTTTTCGGAAAGCATTTTCTTCAGAAGGAAAAGTTTTGGAGGATAATAACTTTTTTTTTTTTTTCCTTTTTCTATACAGAACTTGTCATTCTAACTCTGCAAGACTAAGTAACGGAAGCTGTTGTTCCCCCCGGGCCTTCAGGCCATCTCTTGGTGTGCTCTGCCCCAGCCAGGTGACATTGGAGCCCTATCTGGGCCTGCAGGCTCTCATCCCTTCCAGAGCTGCTCTCAGCAYCAGGAAAGAACAAGAAATTCTTTCATGTGAAAGAGAGCAGGCCTTGCTCACTGCGCCTGCTCCCTGCTTGCAGCGTTTGTGCAGGCTCCTGGGGTCGGGCGCCGCTCTTTTTCTCCCCGTGGGTATGACACAGCGAAGTCCACCACCAGTGAAGTAAGGKCAGGGGCACTTAACAAACACTCAGGTCCCCTGAGAGCGACATTATTCTCTGCCAAGCAGTTTTCTTCATTTTGGATGTAGTTGGATGGTAATTCCGAAGTCTCCGAATTCAGTGAAGTCTGGAAAAAATGACCTCTGATTTGAATCTAAACTTCCTTAAGGAACTGGAGCGAGAGGCTGTTCTGGAGGTCCTGTACCGTGACCAAGCAATGAGGAAAATAGAGGAGGAAAGAGTAAGGTACCTGCCATTCCCATACTCCTCTACTCTTATTTATTCTTTTTTCTTTTTCCTAATCTATTCAATGAATTTTATTTCTCGCATTAATGGAAAATTCAGTTCTGATTGTTTTTGTTCCTCAGTGAAGGTTTTATGACATCCCTACTGTGCACCTGTCTATACCTATATTGCCCTGATAATGCAAGCCGTGTTCAGATCCTTGGCTGGTTTATTTAACTTTCTTSCTCTCTTGGCTGGTGTTAAGACACTCTGAGCACCTCATCGTCCTACTGAATCCATCGCTGTCCTTTCACACTTGCAGTAGACACCACGTGCACTGTGCTTTCTTGGAGGCTGTTACTAATGTCAGTAGGTGTGGTTGGTTAAGAAAAAGATTTTATATAATTATATCACACTATGCAACTGTCTCTGTTGTGAAGGATTAAAGGATAATCCTTTTGAATTTTGTTTGCTTTATATCAGGACTTGAGCAAGTCCTGGCAGCTTGTACCCTACTTGGTCAAGTTGCATCTGTTTGTAACTCAGGATATTTGTTAGATTTTTTTTTTAGTCTCTTATTTAAATATAGAAACTTTAACTTTGCTTTCTGCAAACATTTGTGTAACTAGACTGGATAAATGGTTGTGGAAAAGATGTAGAGAGTTATAAAGAAAGTTTTAAACAATTAGCATTTCCAACAGTTGATGATGTACCTAATGACTGAAAACCATAGCTCCTGATTCTTCACGCTTTTAACAGAAGCAAAGTTAACTAAAGGGAAAGGCTTAGATATTTCGATCTTTTTTTTTTTTTTTTTTTTGTTTTAGCTTTCGTTTCATGCATTTTATTTTTTTTTTTTTAAATTGATAATTTTGGTTTGTGGTTGAATATAGTAATGGATATCTTCATCAAATGAAAGGGAGCAGGGTTAAGGCTCAGTGTTTGTGGATACAGGATCATATTTGCATGAACAGTGTCAGTGCCCTGTCCTGTGTGTGAATCATTGGCACAAGCAGAACCCGGTTACACCAGACTTATCCTGGCTGTGGGGACTGTTGTGGTTGCACATAAAAACAAGGTGGWAAAAATGCTGTGCACAAATGAAGGTCAGGCTGAAAGGTATATTTTCCACTAGCGGTGATAATGCACGAGCAGGGTGTTAGCCTGTCACTGACGTGTTTTTTGTTTGTTTTCTGACCTGGAATTAGGAAGCTGAAGATGCAGCTGCAGCAGCTTCGTTGGAAAGGGACGAGAAGCGTGAGCCACGAGTACCAGGAAAGATCTTGTGCTCGCTGTCATCGACCCCTGGGGCTGCTGCTGAACAGAGGTGCTGTATGCAATGGGTGCAGTCATCGAGTGTGCTCCGAGTGCCGGGTGTGCCTGAACCCCTGCCTGTGGAAATGCACCGCCTGCTACGCTCACGGGTAGGGAATCTTACACTGTGTGGGCCTCGTGCATCGGGGTTTGCCTCTGGCAAAATAAAAATGCTACATGGTGTCCTGACGCCAGTGAAATTAATAGGAATTCTACCTCGCGTGCCTTGCACAAAGTTATGTACACAGGATTTCATTTCCTGTATTTAGCAAAGGGGCTCCTCAGGTTAGGCCAGAGGCTGTGATTCCTCTTGTAAAGATGAYGACTGAAAAGCATAGGAGACAATGCTAATATTTCGACTGTAGGTGGCACTCTCTCATCTTTGTATTGAACTAAGGCACAGCAGGTTGTTGAAGGTGCTGTATTTTAACTCAGTAATGTAACCAATTTCTTGATAATTTCCTTTTTTTCCCCTCTTTTTTGCCACTTACTATGGGARAAAGGAACTTGGATTAATGAATAATGTGAAGTCATGGTTCATATATATATTTAAAAACATAAAACATTAACGTTAAATATAAAACATTAATATTTTCCTATTAGCATAGGAAATAGCATTGAAATATGATCAGAGATCCGAGTTTGTTTACTTGGAATATGTTGTTTTTTTCTTTTACTATGTTACATTGCTTTTATTCTCTTGGAAATGAGAACCTATTTCATATACTGTGTTGGTACAATTCTTCATATCCAAAACTGCAACATAATCCCACCTAGTAATCAGAGTCTTTATAAATCTTTATAAATTTTAGATATATTTCTACCTTTGACAAAAAAAACCCTAAGTATTTTGTAGGCAAAACCAGACAGTTTTGAAAATGAATCAGCAGCTCTATTTACAAGGATTTATATCCCTGTAAAATGGGTGTTTGGATGAAATTTTACTGTACATCCACACCAAACTGATGTACTAGTCCATTTCCTCTTCCAGTGCCAACATGATGTTTGAATAATGCCTGAGGAATATCAGGAAAGGTATTGGTCTTAAGCCGCATGGATATCTACCTCAAATTCAAATTCATGTAATGTCGTTTCCTGCAGTTTGGAAGAGACTAAACTCTCAACCAATAGTTGCTCTCATTTTATTTTGCAATTTACACATAAAAGTAAGTGAATTAGCAGCTGCATTGTCCCAAATATACACAGAGCTAATTTGTATAGATTTCAAAATGTGTGCTGGACATGCAGCTTCTGCTCTCAGTCCAGCTTCTGCTCTTCGTCCCTCCTTCCAGCTGCTTCTCTTTTATGTTTCTGTTCAAATATTTGGTGACCACAGAGGAACTTTCCTGTAGCTAGTAGCTAGTTATTAAACTGCCCTGTCCTGTAGTGTAGTGTGCTCTTAACGGGCATATAACCTTATTCAGGGTGGCAAGAACAGGAATGTCTTACATGGAATAAAAGACATTATATCTTTTTCACAAGGAAAATACCTTTTCTATCTTGCTAATGTAGAGGAATTCTCCATCTGTTAGTGAGTTATTTTATAGGAAAGAGGCAGCATAGGCTTCACTTTTGATCTTGCTTAGTTCTGATGCAGAGTCCATTAACATTGGTCAGGCATCTTCTGTTGACTTCAGTGAGCCTTTGATCAAGGCTGCACATCTTAAAGAGGTTAGGGAACCTGGCAGTGTGGTAAGTCCTTGTTTTGATCCTGGTAAGGGGGAAACCTGGCGACTCCAAATCGTATGAGCTGGTTTTCGCTGAGCTGAATACCCATGATTTTAAGTCTTGGTTGCCAGCAGCAATTCTTTTTTCTAAACAAAACTTTATTTTAAGCAGCACTACTGGTATTCTGCCTTAATGTTGCAATCCTAAATTATTTTTAGGGTCACAGAATCACAGAATATTCAAGGTTGGAAGGGACCTCTASAGATCATCTAGTCCAACCTTCCTGCTCAAGCAGGCACACCTAGAGCATGTGGCACAGGGTGGCATCCAGGCGGGTTTTGAAGACCTCCAGAGGAGGAGACTCCACAACCTCCCTGGGCAGCCTGTTCCACTGCTCTGTCACCCTCACAGTAAAGAAGTTGCTCCTCACCTGGAGACGGAACCATTATTTATACGGTCCATTATTTATAGAGTTTATTTATCCCCTTTTAGCACAGAGTGACAAAAGGCTCTGTAGCAGTTTTTAAGATTCAAAAATTATGTACTCCTCTGAGCTGGCTGAAAGCAACGCTTGTGTCATGTGGCACTGAGCAGTGTGTACCTGCAAAGAGAAGTTGTCCTTTAGCTTTGTGTGTGTACAAAGTGTATTCTGTATATTCAGAAAACCAGGCTGTGAAAATATTAGTATTTTAGGTGTGGATAGATTATTCTAAGAGGACTGTAGAGATCTGAGTAATGTTGTCATCCAACTTATTTTCTTAGAAATTTACTTGCTACTATTTTGCCATAGAAATTACTTAGTTGGAATTTGGCTTAGTTTAATAAAAATATGTGCCTATCCGCAACGTTTTCATCAACACTGTTGTCAGAAGGTCAAATAAGATTGGTTAGGCTGATTTAGTTTCTGCTCAACTAAAACTGGTCGAACTGGGCCTTGAGCTGCTCTGCTTGAGCCCTCCTTAGTGGGACACTGGGGTGCAGGTACATCCATGTATCGCATGGCCTGCGGGATGCTCTGCTTAAATACGCTCATTTCCTTGGCAAAATAAGAAATTGCATATATATATGTGTATATTTTTCACACATATATACACGTATATAGCGCATATATAACACATATACACACATATATAAAAAACAACTTGCAGACTCCCAGTGTTTGTAGCTTTCACCTGTAAGAGGCATCTGTGACCTGAATGGAGTTGTTATGTTGTTTCTTTCTTATCTTCTAGGAGATTGGGCTAAAGTCATTTCCTTTTAACAGCTATTCTGTTTTAACCAGCAAAGATGTTTTGCCATGCTTAGGCTGGTAGCTTAGCTTAATATACTCTTCACCACAAAAAAAAAAAAAAAAAAAAAATTTTTTTTTTACTGTGCCCAGCCTAGTTGTCACATGAGCAAATGCAGAGCTGGAGATTAAATACTGGGGAGATAACCAGGGGTGGCATGGGGAACAGGAAGGGAGGCTGAAGATGAGAATTGTAGCACTGCCAATACAGAGCTCTTACAGCTGTAAAGCAGACAGAAATTTCAGGCATCAATTAAGTTATTAATGGATCACTTTTGAATAATAAGGTATCCTGTCTCAGAGTTATTTCCACTGAATTTTGAAGGCCRTCTATTTAAAGTTATGCAGCAAAAATCGATGGTTAGACATGCAAATATGTAGTCCAATTTACATGTGTGAATGTTTTGAATATTCTGTACTGTTGATTACAAAGATGTATTTTAGATGTCTAAAGTTACCTTAAAGAGCAGAGAACATCCTACCTACAGTTTGTGTATTTAAGATCAAGTGAGGTGTGGAGCAGCAGTCCCAGGGATTTGTTGCCTGGCCTTTGTGGATATCAGGATAGCTCTTGCTGCATTTAGAGATTTTTGCTTTCTTAAGGAGGCAAGTCCTATACAAATTTACTGTGCTTATGTATGCATGAATGTGGGTTGTTACTTCAAGCAAATTTGACAGAATGGAATAAAGATAYTCTTTTCCTATAATGGAAATAAGCTGGCGATGAAAGGTTTCCTAGTGACTGCAGTGTAGACTTTATCCACTAATAAACATTAGAAAATCCACATGGAGTTGAGACATTATACATGCCTTGAATTCAGGGAAACATTTAGATCAAAATTTGTACCTTAAGACCCCAGAGAATCTACTCCTCATTTAAAGGATTTTCTATGTATTTATTAACGGAGAAGTTCACATTGCAGCTTTCATCTAAATCAGTTGAAGACAATAAACTGGAAGAGAGAAGTCCATTTAAAATCAGGCTTTGCTAGTTCTGCTCTTGACAGAGCTATTAAATCTGCCAGTATTAAACATTACCTTTCTGATACTGTGTTCCTGGTGCCTGTGTATGACACCAACATCCTTGATGCCACTCTCCAGAAAAGAGAGGGTGATGCAAGGGCACATCAATACAAAAAGACCATTTTCTTTCCTGCTTTTGGGTTAGAGATTCCAGCCACCCCAAATCCTGTCTTCCAGCAGTGACTTTCCCCCTCCTCGGTCTGGCCTGTGGCTGTGACAGTGCAGCCCCAAGTGYCTGGTGTCGCCCTGCAGGTTGGTTCCAAGTCCTCAGAGTTTAGAGCAGCAGCTCTGAAGAACAGCACGTGTGGCTTTGCACAGGCAGTGCCTCTGTGGCCATCAGGGAAAAGAGGAGGCGAGGAGCCCCTCACTCGCAAATGCAGCCCACCAGTAGTGTGAGCTGCCAGGAAACGTTAGTTTGGCGGTAGGATTAAGGGAGAGGGGGAAATAGCTATCAAACTGTTGCAGAAATGCACTTTGGAAAATGTCGATTCAAATGTCCCTTGCTTGTTTTTCAGAGATGTGAAAATAAAGGCTGGTGAATGGTTCTTTGAGGAACGAGCAAAGAAATATCCCAATGAAGGTAATCACTGAAACAGGCCCTAAATTGATGTGGAGTGCATAGTCCTCACCTAAGTAAAGCACAGAACGTGGTCTGCCACTGTGTGCAGTGTTCCGCCCATTTGGTGGGAGATTTCTCTGAAATAAAGACTGTATCTTGCAGTGCCTGTCTATGCATAAACTAAAGGACGAACACACGCTAGCAGAATATATTTAAAAGCACAGTCTATTTTGTATGAGTAATTAGAATAAGAAGTACTGGTTACTAGGACATACAGTCACATGTGAAAAAGCACTACAGTGCTGGAATATATGGCCAAGAAGGAGGTGAACTTGCATTCGTTGTTTGTTGAAATTAAAACATCCTTTTTTTTTTTTTCCTTTTTTTTTTTTTTCTTTTTATCTCCTCCCCCAACCGAGAAAACACCAGAGCTTAAAGAAGTGATGGAGTGGAATAGACAGTAACAAGCTTTCTTTCCTCTCAGCCAACTGTACTATCACCTTGTGGTTCAGACTATTCAGTGCAATTAAAAACGCAAAGCACTGAAAGTTATGGAGGACACAGCTGGATTGTTATGTGGGGAATGTGTTTCACCAAGTAAGAGGCAGCTCTTCAGGGTTTTGCACCTACAGTGACCAGTGAGCTGGAGAGATTTTGCCTTATCTTTCCCTTGAAGCTTCACTTCAGACCGCCAACTATTTCACGTGTGCATGACTAGCTACACATTCCAGTTTCAATTACAATATCCTAAGGACCTGTTGGCAATCCTGAATAGAAAGAAACTTGTTGCTGGAAAAATGTAATCGGGCAAACTTTGAGTAGCAGGCACTCAGAGAAGCCTGCAGGGAGCAGATTAAGGAACTGAGCTATAATAGTTTCTTCTGAAACAATTAACTTAGAATTTGAAACATTTCATTGAATTTCATTCTAGACCATGCCATTTACAATTTAAAATGCTAGTTGATTTTTTGCGAACAGCTGTATTTCATGTTATTAGTTCTTAGTAATTTTACTTCATATAATCTTTCATAGTTTGGTAAATCTAAAGCTATTTATTTTAAGAATCTCTCATAGTTATTGTAAAAGAACGTGTTGTTCCCCAGGCACTATATCTGATAAGATAATGAATGTCCTTCTTTCCAGTAAAATAAAATAATTCTACCTTGCATTTTCAAAGCTTTGTGAGAATTGGAAGCATTTTGCTTAGGTATTCTAAGAGCAGCGTTGTTGAAGCCACAGAGGCCTAAGGATGTACATAAGATAGATTTCTAGGGAGAAATTTGTTTTGTTTTCTCTGAAAACAACTCTGATATAATTAAAGAGAGAAAAATGACAAACCTCAAAACACAGATGTAGCCTCAGATATATATTCTTCAAACAGTGGCCTCTTTTGCTTTGAAAAATGTAATGTAAMCAAAGTATTTACTGTAAAATACATTTAACAGAATAAAATGTACATTGCAATGAGTTTTTCTCATCTTGAAGACTAAAAAACACATTACAGCAGTATAGTTTTTATTATTTTTGTGTAGCTTCTACCTGTAAAGAAGCCTATTTCCAAATAAGTGGTACATTACCTGTGCTAATAATTTAAAAATCTTACAAAGCCATTGAAAATCACAGCAAATCAAGGTACCAAGCATTATTTATTAATAACGGAGGATCAATTCCAGAGTTCCTGTTAAAATTTGCAGTACCAGAGAGTTAATTGTTTCTACCAATTGTCACCAAGCTCCAGCTCGCACTTAAGAAACAGGTTATAATTAACGAYGCCCTCAACAAAACACGGATCACGTGTTGCCTTCTGTACAGCTGTTATTAAGAATGACTAGTGATTAAAGCCATTCTGGCGCTTTTCCTTTGGCCGTGTGCCGTGTGCGCCGAGCCCTCCGTTCTGTTTGCGATGGCCCGGGAGCAGGCCCGGTCCGTGCGAGCCCTCTTTGTTCRTGCCTGGTGGAGCGCTCGCTCCTCGCAGGCCGCTCACCTGGGCAACGTGACACGGGCGGGTTGCTGCAGGGGGACGGCCTCCGCCGCGGAGTTTGACCTGGTGTGAGAGCCAGCCGGGCATTTTCAGAGGTGCTCAAGTCTCTAGTGTGAATAAAGAGCTTTTTTTTTTTCGGAAGGTTCTGAGTAATGAGCAAAGGCTGAGAGAGCTGGGTCTGTTCAGCCTGGAGAAGAGGAGGCTGAGGTGGGACATGATCAGCGTGTATAAATACCTCAAGGGAGGCAGTGAGGAGGAGGGGSYGGCCTCYTYTCAGTGGTGGCCAGCGATAGGACTRGAGGAAACGGCCACAAGCTGAGSMMCMAAAAGTTCCACAGGAACTTAAGGAAACACTTCTTGACAGTGAGGGTGACAGAGCCCTGGWACAGGCTGCCCAGAGAGGTTGTGGAGTCTCCTTCTYTGGAGATCTTTAAAACCCGCYTGGACRCAGCCCTGTGCCACGTGCTCTAGGTGGCCCTGCGTGAGCAGGGGGGTTGGACTAGATGGCCTCTGRGGTCCCTTCCAACCTTAACCATTCTATGATTCTATGATAATGTGCTATGTGCCTGCTTTTGTACCAATTTTTCGTGTTTACAGTGTTTGCATTTGATGGATTAAATATGCTTCTGTGCAGTGGACTTTGCATTAGCTCCCTGTCCTCTGCACCCCAGGAGGCTGAGGGCACTCTGCAGCTTGCAGCAGTGGGCCCACGAGCACCCATACACGGTGCTGCTGAAGAGCTACTTTGAATATTTTTTGCCTGAAAGTGAGGAGAGGAAATGGCAGGAGAGTGTTTTTTATAGTTGGGACTTGTGTGCTGGCTGGCGTTGAGGCTCGTGTGGGAGGTGGGGACAGGCTTCACTCCTGCTCTGCGCGTGTACCTCAAACGCCAGCACCTCAAAGCGCACTGATTTTGACAAGCGCCATAAGGGCCTGAATAACTGCTGCTGTTGCTAAGGGACCTTTGTTTTTTTTCCTCCTTCACAGGTAGACATGAAACAGTTGGTGCAAAGCTCTTGAAATCTTATCAGAAACTGAGGTAAGACTCATAAAAGGACAAATTGTCCTAGGACGCCGAGACTTTGTACAGGTAACATATTGTATATTATAAACCAGCTAGCCAATGGATACTTTTTGATTGTGAAGAGCAAATTTCAATACGTTTGAAGTACAAATGGTGGTAGCATAGCAAAAATGCCACTTTGTGTCTAGGCAACCTATAGAAAGTGTCTCCAGTGCAGAGTACTCTTTCTTAATATTTTCCTAGTTACTTAAAGTGAAAAGACTTGCACAGCTTTTTGTTTTGTTTTGTTTTGTTTTTAAGCCATCTGTTTATACATTTCTATATATCTGTTTTTGCCACTGTTTTGCAAATTTGCATACTGGTTGTATTTTCTAAATGGGTGGTTTTGCTCATCTGATGGCTTTAGAATAAATATTAATGAAGAAACTCTGTTCAGAAAGATGCATCTCTTTACATAAWCTTAAAGAAAGTGAAAAATACAGTTTGCACCAAATAAATGTCTTAAGGATTTGAGGCCTATGCAGTATAATGCTTAACTTAACACCAGTTGTGTATAATGAAATAATAGTTTGTTGAAACAATGTTGTGTAAAAGAAACTCTATTAAAGAAAAAAAGAAAAAAATACACTAAATATATTTATATACAGTAATTGTCGATAGATGTAGCTGGATGCAATGGAAACTTGCAGATATCTAGGTATCCACACAGGTTTGTGTAAGGACCTAGATGTGGTAAAAGGAGAAGAGAATCGAAAGGGAAATTCGCTGGCTGCCTCTAGGGGCTGTGATAAACTTGCAGTAACTGACTTGAGTGAGATTTTTTTTTTCCCCATAAATCTGGTCTATTTATAGCAGACAAAGGAGTGGGTTGCAAGGCTCTAGCAGCTCTGTGCCCAGATGGAGAAGGATCCTTCCAGCAGTTGGAGCAAGAGTGACAGCTTTCTGAAAGGAGTTGAGCTTGGATTGTAATGGCAACCATAAAGCAGATAYGGTGCTTGCCTGTGGTTTATCTGTCTATCATAGCATGTTAGCATAATATATTAATTGTTGTCCTGTTCATTTTCTCTTAAATATCTAGTAACATTTCTGTTGTTCCTCCAACTCCACCTCCTTTCACCGAATCCACAGCAGGGAGCACCGTGACGGTAAATGCATATATGTGCAATACGGACATATGCACGCRCTGTCTCAGGGCGTCATTCACAGGCAAAGACCAGTCACAGAACCGCAGTAAACAGCAGCAGCTGCCATAACATCCTTCTGCAATATAAGTGCTGCCTTTTGTCACTTTATACTGCACTAGAATGGGAGAAAGRTTAGAGTCTGTCATGAGAGATGTGTCCCTCTGGACAGGGAGAGGCCGAGGGRGCCGGGTCAGTAGAGGCGGCTGCAAGGGGAGCTCCCAGCATTGCACAGCGCTCCGCAGGGAACGGGGAGCACAAGAGGCCCATGGCAGAGCTGGCCCGGAAGAGGCTCAGGCTGGTTTTAAGGAGGGGACACTTCCCAAGGAGGCCAGACGGGCTGTGGATCAGTTTGCCCAGAGCAGTGCTGCAGCCTCAGTTCTTGGAGGTGTCCAAGACTGGACTGGAAAAGCCCTGAGTTGACCCAGAGGGGTGGCAGCAGGCCCTTCTCTGAGCTGTGCCTTGGATGGAGACCTGCTGGGCTCCTGCCTGCCTGACTGGTTCTGTGGTTCTGTGCTAGTTGATAGCTTCCTGTAAAGCAATCATTGCATGCATTGCTGTCATTAATGAGTGAAACACCAGGATTTTGATGGTTGTTTTATTTGCATTACAGTTGCTAATAAACATGGTACTAGCACATGACTTAGAGCTCATTGAAATCTCACAAATGTCACTGAATTCTTCAGCTGGGTTTAGTCTGGATCTCAAGGCCCTAGTTTTGAAGTCCCCTGCTATTTTTCTTGCACTTTTTAATATATGCCTACAAGGATTTTGAAAATTGTTTGCTATCAGAGGCACAGCAGCATGATAGCAGTTCTGTAACAGACAAGACTTTCCAGCTGGAAGTATTAAATACATTACAATGGATCAGTCATGTAATTAATTACATTTATGAAATTGTTATGAGATCTTACAAGGAAACTGAAATATCAAGGGAACTGAAAAGATAGTCCTCCAAAATCATGTATCAGTGTGACAGTTTGCAATTGTGTAAAAATATGTGATTAGATGCATTTGTCTACAGTCTGCAGCCCCACCATTTTCTTGGTGTGTGGTCTGTATGTGATGATGGAAACTTTGAAACACAGTGAATATTCAATGTGTTCTTATTTTTGGACTCTCCATTTGCAGGAACTCTGTCAGACTAAGAGTTTTAATAAGTCTGTGGAAAACTTGTTTTTGTCTCTTACAACACATATGAAAAGTAAGTAGCTTTCACTGCACCATCTTTCTAGAGTCATGCTTCCATTCGTTAGTCACAATGTAGTTATAAATTAAGAATATTGTAACGATTAATGTCAAGACTGAGACAAAAAAAAGATAGTAGGGTAAGTCTCAATTCTCCATCAGTATCCAGCCAGTTGTTTAAGCGGCTGATGATGCCAGCAAAGAATGCCTTTCATGTTAGGGAGTGAAAAGGCTGTATGATATTATTTTAAAATTTAGCAGTTGTTCAGATGCAGTAAATTTAACAGAAGTAATTCAGTAATGGAAATTTATATTGTAGTCATCTGATTATCTATTTCTGTTTCTTATTGTAGTTTGTGTTATCACTCTGATTGAACCTCCATTGACCTGCCCACCTGTCATGTAAAGGAAATAAGGACTAATATTTTCACTCTCTGGCAGTTCCTAAGAGAACTTCCTTCCTTTTGCTGCTTAATCTGACTTTTTTTTTTTATATATATATTTTTTAATTGTATGTTTCTAATAGCCAGCTACTCCTGGCAGTTCTCTCATTCTGATCCTTCTGTTTCCTTCCATTCACTTAAACCTTGTGCTGCTCTTTATGGTGGAAGCTAAAGGTGCTTTTCTAAGGTCTGCTATGCTGAGAGCAAGCCCTCTCTGAGATTGAAGGCACCAGTGAGAAAACCTGGTTCTGAGCCTAATGCAAGGGGCTTGCACATTTGTGTCCATTTAAACCTTCATCAGCATTTTTTCACTGTCTTAACACCAAACAAAAGATGAGACTGGGCTTTCATCTCTGTTTTTGCCATTAACTCTAATCTTACCCCTTGCTCACTACGCCTTGCTCACTCACTCCTCTGATGACTTCTATCCAACCTAAAAGCCCGTTTTCCTTTAGCTCCACCAGTTTAATGTGCAGTCCATGTGAGCATGGAGTAAAGCAATGCCTAGACGTGATGGCTCTCTCCCCTGAACAGAAGGGACGTGTAGATGGGCCAAGGATACCTTGTTACTGAAAGTCTGTTGTTGGAGACAGCACAAAATAGGGTGTAAAAAAAATGTATTCTGCTTTCTGAGGGTGTCCGACTACAGATGGTGGAGAGGGGAAGCAGGGCTGTCCTCCCCAGGCACAAACCTCAGCCCTGGGCTGCGCAGATTGCAGCACACTGCTGTAATAACTCACTGCTGCCAAAAGGAAGGGCCTGCTTCTCCTTCCTGTCTTGGCTTTCATTCTCTGGCCACTGCTTAGCTGGAATTAGCATCAGTGTTTTGGGACCCTTTCATGAACCTGATTTAATTAAAAGGGCAGAACACTAAGGCAGACAAAGCAAATGGGCACTTTTCTGCTGGCTGGCTGAGATGAATGGGCTCAAGACGAGGTCTCTGCACTGGAGCTTGTGCATCACAGGGCCGTGGGGCCGTGAGCCAGGGCATGAGGAGGGAAGAGCAGAGCTTGCAGAGGGGAGCTCAGCTCTGCTCAGCTCTACATGAAACCACACTCAGTTGCTGTCATCCTCAATTAGGGGGAGAAGCTTCTAATTTCTAAGAAAATAACAGGCCATTGCTATCACCAAAGGCAGTAATTAAAAGGAGGTATAGGAAACCTTCCAGAGAAAAAGACCTGGGCTGCTTGACCTAAGATGACAAGTTTTGCAGATGATATGGCTTCCCACTGAAACTTGGCCCTGATAAATGCTTTCAGTCACAAGTGTCTGAAGTTAGTGCTCTGTGTCTTACGAAGGTTAAAAACATCCTGGTGTGCAGAGGTATTTAATACAAGCAACTTCTGTGTTTCAGTAAGTAAATGGAGATCCTGGTGGTGCCTCTGCTGCTCTCTCTGGAGCTGGTGTGTGTGCGTGGCCAGGAGCAGGCTGGGGACAAGGGGTTAGCACGTGCGACATGATGCCCTCCTGATCTGGGCTGCTCTCCACAGTGTTGCCTTCTGTTCCAGCTTGGCTTGGCAGCTGGAGCTTGCTATAATGCAGTAGTCATTATGTAGGGTATGTAAAATGAGTTGTAGATATCCTAGCGGTGGGAATCGCCCCTGGAACGAAGCCACAGTGTCCCTTCTCACTGGCTGTGGGGGTGGAGAAGCCAAGGGCAGAAGGGATGTGAAAACCTTTCCTCACAATAAGCTGTTTCGTAGCCTGTTCACAGAATGACAGAATCCTTAAAGTTGGAAGGGACCTCCAGAGAAGATCTAGTCCAGGCCCCCTGCACGTGTGAAGCAACCTTGTGTTTCTGCTTCTGCTGATGGTCGAATTGTTCAGATTGTATCTCCTGCTTTAGATTTATCGCTCCGTTCTCTTTTATGATCTCGGATTTCACTGTGTGTTTTAAAAACGTGGTTTCATTTACAGCCAGAGATGATTTAATTGAGCCTGCCCATGAGTATGTCATGTGATGCCTTAATGGTGTATCCAAAGTACAGTAAGCGAGGCCTGCATGCTCCTAAGGACCAAAGTGGGCTTAAAAATCACTCCAGAGTGCTGTTGTTCCTGAATATCCTAATGATCTGCTGTCTGCAGAGGCTGCCCAGTGGTAGCTCATGTTAGAAGAGAAAGATTTATTTCTTCTGAATAAATTAAACATGCGATAGCTATTTCATATACACTTATACATTATTAACTCTTCATTAGAGACTGCCTAGGGCTTACAACACAGTGTTTGCTGCTGAGCCTGGTAGTTGTAACTTCAGAAATCACAAATGAGTGTTGTCTTTGCCTTTAAGTAACACTTTGACTGTACCTTGAGGAATAAGAAACCAAAAAAAAATGTGCACTAATTGTCCACATCTCCCAGAGATTTATTTGACAACAAACTATATGTTACTGAGGTGCTAATTCAGTAAGGTTCTTAAGTATAGTCATAAGCTTATCCGTATAGTGTTACTGCAGTGATATTGAAGTCATTGAAGGCTGCTCATGTTCTGGAGGATGTAGTCTCTCTAATTCTTTCATATTTTGTATTAATTTCTAAGTATTTTCCACTATACTCTCTTTTCTAATATCTATTGTAATGTCACTATGAATTATTATAATATTCATACTTTCATCCTGAAGAAAAACAGATAATACCTATTTGCAAATACCACTTTACAAAACAATATCTAAGCTATATACCAGGATGGTTTCTGTGGTGAAACTGTATTTAATGCAACAATTCTTTGAAGCAGTTATGAAGATAGGAAGCAAAAAGAGCATTTTACAGTTGAAACAGCAGGAAAAAAATTAGGAAGGCAAAATATAATTATACAAAATGGAAGAGGTACTTGGTTTCTCATCTGTTCCTTATTCTGAGGAGATGAATACTGGAATTACAGGGTGATAGGCTGAAAGATACAGGATTTCTTGTGATGTTTGTTATAGCAATTTCTCTCTTTGTGCTCACTGCAGAAATCTCTAAGTCCCAGAACGATATGGCTGACAGAAGCCACCTGACCACAGACTATGGGCAGCACGTGGAAAAGAGGAAGGAAAGAAGGAGCCAGTCTGACACTGCCATCAACATTACAAGCAGGGTATCTAAATCATTATACTCAGTCTCTGGAACTGTAAGGTCTGTTTGGGGAATGCAATCTGTTTGTAAGGATGGTTACTTTTATATCTGATTTTTGCTTTTATTATAGGAGCAGAGTTCAGCTGATGCTCACCATGGCCAAAAACCTGGTTCTTCATAAGGGTTCTTCATAACTCTTCCTGCTTGGCCCCAGTTCAGAGCTAATGGCTGAGACTGAGGTTTTACAGACTCTCCTGTGGGGCAGGAGAGGAGGATGATGTTTTGCTGGCAGGTGCTCGCAGACCCTCTGGGAACTCATTGCAGCCTTACAGTCACACAGAGCGTGCAGCAAGGAGATGCTCTGTCTCTTGTCCTGCTCCTGCCCCTCTTATTGCTGAACAGGACCAAACAAACCCATCCTCACATTTTCTGAGCCCTTTGAAAAGGAGAAAATGGTGACTGCTGTGAGTTGCTGTGCAACTTCCGTTTTCTTTTTGCTTTGCTTGCAGCCACAAGCTTTCAGTGCTTTTATGAAAAGCTTGAGAAAAATTCATTTTTTCTTTTTATTTCACAAGTTGTGCAGGGCTGAAAATGATGTCCTGTGACTGCTTTAAGGTTGCACTGAAGATTTTTACATTTTCACTTCTCCTCTGAAATCTTTCCCCTCCAGTGACCCCCATACTGAGGTGCATATGAGCTGCTAGGTGGCTGAACCAGGTATTGGAAAATGCTCTTGCTTTGGGCCAGACCTCATGGGAGGTGTCTCTCACTGCCAGTTTGCTGCACTTCTCACTTTCCTTGGAAGCACTGGGTATTAAATGGAGCAGGTAGGAGGTCAGATATGATGGGCTAGTGGTTTGAACTGGCCCAACAGCTTCTGGAAAAGCTTCCAGGAAAGTATTTTTGGTTATTTTATAGGTGATCATATTATTAAAAAAAAAAAAAAAAAAAGGCAACATTTCTTAACTACCCACATGCTGCTCTCGTTGTGGCAATATTTCTTCATGTATCATTTCGCTGGCAGGGTGCTGCCCTTTGAATGCGCTGAAAAAACATCAGACTTGGAGAAAATGTGAACTTTAACCTTGCTGCATTGCATGCTAATCACATGCACAGGTCATTCTTTAAGGAGACATACGGATTTTTGGCTTGACAAATGTATTAATTAGGAAATACCAAATTATTTGTGTGTGATTGAAATGATTTTAAAGATTTAGGATTTAATTCTGTCCATCCTTTGCAGTAGAGATTTTGAAAGCTCGGTGTTGTTGGTGTTGCCAGAGCTCTATTTCTATGGGTTAGGATTTCGCTGAAACCAGTTAAACTACTAAGCTGCAATTGCTGGAATTCCTGATGATCTTTTTTCTCTTGTGAATGTCATCATCACAGGTTTGTTTTTTCAATATTGAAAGAAATTTTGCTTGCCTGTCCACCTACCTGGTGGCTTTTCATATCTGTTCCGTGGTTTAAAAATATTTTTGATCTCTGTCAATGACAGCATTGCGTTATTCTTCTGTTTATTTTGTCTTGTTCTGATTTTTCATTTAGTAAGAATAGACATTTATGTCATTACCAGAACTGATAACTAAGTTTAGTCACAGAGCTGGGCTAGATGGGAATCTTGCTCAGGACCTGACTTCAGCTTTAGCAGAGTATTTGTGTTGCCAAAGCCATCATTTTCTGTTTAATGCAGAAAATAGGGTGAGCTATATGTCGGTGTTGAGTAGGCTGTTGTGGTTGGGAAGTGAAATCAGTAGTGGTTTCAAGGTTTTTAGGGCAATCCTTTTATTTATAAAGAAAAGAATGAGAAAGTTCTGCCTCTTTGAATGAGGAAGGACTTGCACAGCAGAACACAGGTTCTTTGCTGAGAAAGATGCTCTTTTTTTCCCTTTCTTTTTGCAACTGCCTTCTGCATGCACCTTATAGCCATCTCTTTCCTCTTGAGGGAATTTGATGAGTTTGTCCTTGAGGTAGGGCAGTTATTACACACAACAATTTCTGTACATTATAATAACACTGTGCTGGCCTGGCTTTGGCACGTCCTGTTTTTCAGAAGCGTGGGTCATCTCTCATGTCCTCACGCTTTAGGGCTTTCTGCTGATGGTGGAGGAAGGCTTCCCTGGCTGTTTAAAAATGCCTTATCTCCTCCTTCTATGAGAAAGTCACAATCATTTAGTTGATTCAGTCACTTCTTTCTAGTCTTTCAGGTAATCCTTGTCATGCTTTTTTTTTTTCTAATGAATGATTTCCTCAGATACCAATCTTATAAAATGTCTCTCCTCACTCTTTCCCTATCTCTTCACACATGAACTTATTTTTCTTGAGTTGCATTAGCCAGGGTTAACGGTGTGCCAAAATCATCCCAGACTTGTTTTTGACATGCTTCTAGAGGGGCATTAGTGTTTTGACACTTCATTAAGTCAGTTGATGTTGGTAACAGAGGTGGCAGAAGATAAATCTCAATGAATTTGCTACTTTATAGGTCAATTTCTCCCAAATTATCAGGATTTTCTTGGGAAGATTGGAAAGGTGAATGGATAGAAGGACAAAGCAAAGACAAACCTCAAACATTTAACCTTCTTCTATAATCACAGCTAAAAAGGAACTTGTTTGTTCCTATGTTCAAGTCTCTTTTCAATGTACATTCACTCTTGCATAGGTAGACATGGGCATGAGACATGTACATTGCAAATTACTATTTTTAATTTTCTGGAGGCAAGATTTTTTTTTGGATTAAATTACTGTTTCATCAAAGACTAATATGGCCCCTTATTAGCTTATTGCTACTTCTGGTGTGTGGTTAGTATACTGTTCCTAGTAATTTCTGTGGTACTGATCATTACATTGTGTGGTGGTGTTTTGATTTTAGATAAACATTAATATAAAGAATGTACTACAGATTCGGATGGGGGGCTTGTAGCTGTAAAATATAAAAAACACTCAAGTTAAGTTACTACATTCTCCTTGGAGATGTGATCAACTCTTAGATTGATCAGAGTGAATTGCAGCTAATTAACTGAGTTTTGTTGTGATGTCATTCCTGGAGGGACCAGAGCACTTTTCTCAAATGAAAAGAAATTAATTTCTGAATCTCTTACAGCTGAAAAGCACCCCCAGCCTTCAGCACCTCCTCACTGGGGCCCAGAGGGACAGTGAAATCTTTACTGGAAGGAGCTGCAAACAGGAAGAAGACATAATAGCCAGCCCTACAAGTGACACAGTTTTCTGTGAGGACAGAAGACATGTAAGTGAAATCGAAGGGTGAAGCACCATAGAACCACCCAGGTCTAATGGGGAAAACCACAAAAGCTGAGCTCCTCCCATTTGCATTAGGGTTGGGATCTTGAATGTGGTTCTCTCTCACCTCATAGCTCGCTTTTTCTCTTACAGCTTTTAATGGAAGCATATTGCTCTTCTCCAACAACTGTGGTAATGCAAATGGCAGTGGCAGTGAAATAAGACAGAGTAGAAAGCTTCTGTGAGCTATTGATGTGACTTTTAAATGGATATTTTCAGCAAGTTGCACAAATGAAGAATGGCATCTGCATAAAAGAGAGATCCCATCTGCTAGAAACACTCACCCTACACTCTTAGTTACTGGATTGGGTAGTGCAAAGCCCTTTGGTTAACCAGTCTTGTTTGGATTGGTGTTTTCAGAGGGAGGAGTGACACAGATAGCATAGATGACATAGCAATCTGGGGCAATATCACTGTGACATTAATCAGAACAACAATTGTGACTTTGTGGCACATGCTGTGTAAAAATATTCAGGGACTCACATTAAAGAATATCATTATAAACGCATAGAGACCAAACAGTTTTGATTAGGTTGAGTTGATCATTCAATACAATGAAAGTAAATAACATTGTAAAGTTAGCTGGCCGTGCTGGGCCATGTTCAAAATCAGAGGCTTCATTTCAATTTCACGCATTGCCCTGTAATGACTGTGCTGACTGTGTCTCTGTGCTTTAGTCTTTCCCAAACTGTCTGCCACAATGTGGACTGTTACTTCCATATGAAATTGAGGGATCTTGTAAAAGATTACTAGGAATGCATTGCCGTTTTTTTTTCCTTTAACCTGTTAGGACCTTGCATACGCTAGTATTTATTACGTACTAAAAGCTGTCTTGTTCTGTATTCTGTATGTTCTTGCATTTCAGAACTTTTTCAGGAACCATCGCTGAAGGACAGTCCTCTCTCGAATACTTAACCCATTTTCTGATTGGAAGCCATGCAGTAGATTTGCTGGGAGATAATTTCTAGGTCAAGAGGTTACCTAGCAAAGCATTTTGTTAGGCCAGGAATTTTATTGAAGAGAGAAAGCCAAAAGAGTAAATTTTACAGTTGTAATAGGTTATTGTGCTCGTAAAAGTGTTGGTATGTAAAACAGCAGAATGCTTTTGTATCAATTATCCTAAGTCTTCATAATTTTGAGTAGCTTTGCAGTGAAGTCAGTAAAGATACTGACATTTGAATAATAATAATAAAAAAAGCTTTACCTATTTGACTAGAAGCTGACTAGAAGCTACTTTTTCTTTAACATTTCCTTTTTTTTTTTTTTTTTTTTAGGGGAGTTTGTGCAGTCTTAACAGCACTTGCACTGAGTATGGCAATTTTGGCAAAGCTAATGTCACAGGAGAAATAGAGTTTGCCATAAGATACATCTTCAAAGCCTGCGTTTTAGAAATCAGCATCAGAGGATGCAAGAATCTGGCCTATGGAGAGGAGAAGAAGAAAAAGTGTAATCCGTAAGTATTTTGTTATGAAGGAAAAATGACGCGTTCTCTCTTCAATAGAGGTATGCATGTAGTGTATAGTATGTAGTGTATGTGTATCTAGTTGATATATGATGATATGCCACAATAACACTTTTCAGAATATCACATATATGTGTATGTATATGTGTATATATATCAGCACTTTGTACATCTACAGGCTATGGGGCAAGTAGGTTTCATATCAGGGCTTATTGATTTCCATTCTGAACATTTTCTGCCGGCCATTTTCCCTTTCCCTGCCTGGGAGCTGTTGGAACCCGTGCCGCACATCAGCTTTACTGAGTATCTGTCTAGATTTTAGCTCTCTTAGGCTGTGTCTGCAAAAGTAATACACATGTGGTTTACAAGCTGAAAAATGGGATGGAAAATTGAGATGTGAGTCATGATCCTAATTCATTCACTGACTCATTGCGGGCAGTTGACATACTTCTCCTGTGCTTCCGTTTTCCTCATCTGTGATGTGGATAGAAATTTCAGATACTGCAATGCATTTTTAAACCTATAGCTAGTTAATAAGTGTGTATTATCATAAAAGGAAAAAAGATACCTACTTCTATGGATAAAATATGCCATAAAAAGCATCATTTTGACAGTTAAACCTCAATGGTTTGGCTGTTTATTACTGAATGATCCTCTCTGGCCTTGCAGCCACCGTTTTTGAGGCACCCTCAGGCAGAATATCTCCCTGCTGTTTCTGTGCATGTTCCTGCCCCCTCTGTCACGCAGCACTCAGGCCAGTGTGAGTGACCACGTGGCAGATGCCCAGTTGCTGCCCTTCGTCCAGAAGGCTCTGGGCTTTGGGCAACCTTGGCAGGAGAGGAGAGGAAAGGAACCTGCAGCGCGTGGAGCAGCCCCATTAGGGAAAGCTCTGGCACCAATTCCCTGTCAGGTGGTTAAGGCAGGGGAGGGTTGCGAGGAGCTGAGAGGCCGTGGGGGAAGAGCTAAGCATGTGGTGAACACTGAGTTAGCTGTGGGCACGCAAGGAGAGAGGAGTAAGGCAGTGCATTGACTTAGAGCACCTGCCAAAAGCAAGTTTCGAGCTGCTGCTGAAACCCCGTTGAGTTGTCCAGCTCCTTGGCTGGTTTGAAGTCGCTTATTTTGCTAGCGCATTGCTTGTGTGGTAGAGTGAGAGGCTTAACCTTCTAGTAGCCAAATATAATTCAAAGTAGTTTTTACCTGCTTTGGAAAGTGCAGGGAAAATGCAGAATCCAAGTTCTGCGCTGACATTATGAGATACAGCAGATGCAATAAATTAACCAAGGGCCCTTTGAAATTTGATTAAATCATAGTATCTGAAATACATATCAAAAGTATAAAAAACTTTTAAAATAGTGCTGTTTTAAAAAGCTTTTCTTTCCTTGAGAGGCAGCATGAGCTGGGACTCTGTATTGCCGAAAGTCTTCTTCAGTTTTGAATCTGTAATGCAGATAGCGCCCGCTGGGTGCTCATTAAGAGCAATGATTAAGTGTTAAGTTGTTCACATGACCTACACATGCAGGGCTTTGGGTAGGAGTCAGTGGTGCTTGACATTGGTCCAGTTCATCCTCGATAAGACTTCCCACTGATTTGCCTTGAAGCAGTTTTGAATACTTCTAAAAATCTCACCCTTCTGCTCTAGCAACTCTTTTAAAGCTGATTGTTTTAATAATTGTGAATTATTATTTATTATTTGCATGCTTATAACTTAAAAAAATATTTAAACTTAAAATATTTGATGTTGAAAGAGTGAAATATTTTCATCAAAGGCAAGAAGTAATGATTCTGAAGTTGACTGAGCTGATTTTTTTGAGCACATACATAATATGCAGTGTGTCCCCTTGCTACAACTGATAGTGACCAACTTCCTTAGTGATCAGTTCATCTGGGCCCACAAATCTGAAAACAAAAGACTCCAGTTAAGTTACTGATTCTATACTAATTAGAATAGGATTGAACCGTATTGACTGAAAGAAGTATAGAACCTTATAATATGTTTGCTTTTTAATTTTTTGAGAAAGAGAGGAGATAAATGATAATTTGCCATTTTATAGCTCTGAGAATTACAAAGTCAGTGATAACTTTTAAGAAATAATAATTTTTTTAAATCCTCCTGGTTTAATTAATTTATTTTTCTATTTCTTTTTTTTTCTTTCCTTCTGCTCACTTTACATTTATCCTTCCCTCTACTTGCAAGGTACGTTAAGGTGTATTTGCTTCCTGATAAATCTCCTCGGAGTAAGCGGAAGACGGCTGTCAAAAAGAGCACAGTGGATCCAGAATTTCATGAGACCCTGAAGGTGCCGTATGCAGCTGTGCCTCTCAGCACCCTTTGCCTTTTGTGATGTACAATTTGTAGGTTCAAATTGTCCTGATGTGGCAATTCTAGGAGTCAGTAACAACAGCTTTTGAAGAATGCTGGCTGCCAGCCCAAATAAGAGGAAATTTGGAGTTTCTGGAGTTATGTTAGTTCAGTAAACTGATAGAAAACTGTTAGAAAAATGTGCCTGTATCCATAAAAGTGCTCTTCATTAATTCCTGCATTCAGAGCTAAACTGTGGCAAAATGGGTACCCTCTCCAGATACATCTTTCCATATGCTCATAGACTGAGTGCATTGCAGGGTAAAATGATCCATATTTATATAAACTTTTAGATTAAAACTCAGCATCTGTGGCATAACAATCAAAGGTATTCTCAGAATGTTGTTTTATATTTGGATGAATGTTATTTAGCCTTTAGGGAATGAGGTAAGAAGCAAATGACCATGCATGTTAAGACAACATAGTCCTGCCTGGATGCAGATGCCTTCAGCCACACTGTGGCTGAGTTTCCTCTGAGCGGGTTGTTATGTGTTTGTGCCTGTCTGGATCCTGTGCATTCCTTTGTAAATGCTGCTTATCTTCCCAGTACAAGGTTGAATACCCGCAGCTGGGAAGTCGGCAGCTTCAGGTCTCCGTGTGGCACGCGGGAGCACTCAAGACCAGGGTGTTTCTGGGGGAAGTGGTCGTCCCGCTGGCAGCGTGGAATTTCGAGGATCGCTCAGCAGAGTCCTTCAGCTGGTACCCGCTCAAAGCCAAGGTGACTCTTGGGTTTTGTGCTTAATTGTGTCTGAGGAACAGCATGTAGTGAAGCTTGGTCAGCTCTCTGAGGTCATGGACTCAGCCCTGGCACAGGCTGCCCAGGGAGGCTGTGGAGTCTCCTGCTCTGGAGATCTTCCAAACCTGCCTGGATGCCGCCCTGTGCTCTGGGTGTCCCTGCTGGAGCAGGGGGGTTGGACTGGATGATCTCTAGAGGTCCCTTCCGACCTCAACCATTCTGTGGTTCAGGGAAGAATGTTGTTAAAGCAGCCCACGAATAAGATGTGTCACAAATACAGATGTGCTCTAAGCATGATGTGCAATAGAGCAGTTGCAGTAATGCAAATTTCTCTGTGTCCCTCCCTCAGCTTGAAACGCCTGAAGATAATCTTGGCCAGCACAGCAGCAAACTCCTGGTGTCTGCAAGACTGTCCGTACCAGCCCAGGATAAGAATTTCCAGCTTGAAAAGCAGATGAGAGAAGGTATAAAACATTTCAGCACAAATGAAAGCTGGCTAGAAAAGTAGTGAGGTCAACAAGCAATTGACAGTGTGTGTCTGTATGAGTAGACAATGTTCCTGCCTGGGATTTTAACAGCTACTGCAAATTGTGGTTTCAGTTATATTATATCTCAAATCCATTAAGACTCAAAAGTTTGCCAACTTCATCATTTTTTCCTTTTAATACCAGCGACAGGTGCTTGTTAGGATGGCAGTAGTTAGGATGGCACCTGGTGCTCCCTGGTGCTTGGCAAGCTTGTGCATAGCTGGTGTTGCTGACAGACTTTGTTCTGGAGGTCATGCAGCAGTTTTGTTGCCCAAGGCCAGCCTGGCAGTAGAGACTCAATTTAGGGAAAGGGCAGAAGGGGAGTTTTTTGCTAGGGTACCAAATATCCACCCTTAGCTTCCTCCAGTGGTCTCATTTTCAGTAAGGGAAATGTTTCCGTTGGAGAATGTTTGGTTCAAAATGTAGAAGATGATGATGACTTGCTAGGTTTGTAAGTATTGCTGTGGTGCACCGGAGCAAGTCTGCTTGGATGGATGGAAATAAACACATGGGGGCAGGGAACAGGACAACCTGATTTTCTTTAGCTCGTTAGGCCGTAAGAATGACTGCAGGACAGAGCCATAGTAGTGCTGCCTAGGGTGAAGACCACAGCAACAGGGAGAGAGCAGCAGGAAGATTGGATTAACTGTTAGACTTTTTAGTTTTTATTTTATTTTATTTTATTTTATTTTATTTTATTTTATTTTATTTTATTTTATTTTATTTTATTTTATTTTATTTTATTTTATTTTATTTTANATTTTATTTTATTTTATTTTATTTTATTTTATTTTATTTTATTTTATTTTATTTTATTTTATTTTATTTTATTTTATTTTATTTTATTTTATTTTTTTCCAGAAAGAACTCCAAGTCCCCATCCCCTTTATTCCTTTTCCTCAAGTGCCTGCCCCTGTGTTCAGGCTGAGACAGAGCCCAGGACTGACCCGCTGTGGGGCAGGCTGGCTGGCCTCTTCCTGCTGTGCCTCAGTGAAACCTCCCTGGGCTCTGCCCTGTGTGTTGTCTTTGCAAATGCAAACTCTGTATTTGAAACGGGAGTTGCAGAGCAACCTGCTGCTGATTTGTTTGCATTTTTGTGTTTGTTTGTGTTGGATTTTAGGCTATATAAACAGGTTGGAGTCTTTCAAATCATCCTAATACAGTACTATGAAGCCTTATCTCGGTAATATTGTTCAGTCATTTTCCTCCATACCTATAGTAGCATCTTAAGCTACGAGCTGCACTAACTGGTTATTAAACGTGATCCATGCTCCTGTTTCAGGAAGAAAAGACCAGGGGGCTCCCAGCTGCCAGCTTCAAGTTTTAATCTGTGAGACCAAGAACCTGCTGGTGCCGAGATCTGCCGGCACGTTGAACCCTTTCGTTAAAGGGTAGGTATGAGCCTTAACACTTCAAATAGAAAGCGTCACACACATCCTGCACAAAGGTAAATATTAACATATTTTGACCAGGAGTCATGTGGAAGTGGCATTGTCCCCTCTCTTAGGCAAACTTCCTCCTAACGGTGACAGTTTACCCTGGTGAGTAGCTTGATAGCAGCCTGCTGCAGGATAGTGAAGGGGCCAGTCTGCTCTTTGAGTCCCAAATGGAACTGCTTAGGAGTTTACTGTTGCTTGATGGTACTCGAATTTAGCATTCACTGTTATAAACATCAGCTTTTAGGTGTTAGGAGAAAAAGGGAGGAAATTGCCCATCAGGAGGGAGGTGATGGCGTAGTTTCATTCCTGTTCTCAGCTGTGCTTTTGCAGAATGAATACAGCTTTGTATGTATTTGGGAAAAAAAAAACAAAAACTTTTATTCTCTTGATTCCAGACATTTTAAAAGAAGGAGGAAAGCAATTCTTTTTTCCATGCCCAGTCCGAGGAGCTTGTATATGGGATCATTTTACTCTCTGTGAGGCATCAGACACTAGTGGAAGTAGTGTATGGGGTTACACATGTAACATCTCACAGAGACATTTTAGCAGCAGTGGCACCTATTTTCAGTGGTGAAATGGGTGCTCATTCCATCCACTTCCTCAGCAGTTGCTGAGGCCAGAGGAGCAGCAGCCATCACTGGTGCCCACACTGAGGGGACACAGGAGGAGGGGCAAGTCCCAAAAGAACCAAAACAGCATCAGAGCCTACCTAGCACTTAAGCTGAACTTTATAGCTATTTAGGGCAAGCCAACAGGTCCGAGCTGTTCAGCACAAATATTTTGTTTTCTGATCGAGTGATGTGCAGTGCAGATTGATGACCTTGCTGTACTCTACTTGTTTTGGGGAAGCTGTCTTATCCTGCCGGACCAAACAGAGATGAAGCAAAGGTCTCCCGTCCTGAAGAAAGAAGTCTGTCCTCGATGGAAACACTTGTTTGTCTTTGGTGATGTCAGCCCTGCTCGGCTGCAGCAGTCCTGTCTTCACCTGACTGTGTGGGACCAGGCGTCTTTGGGCGCAAGTGATCGGTTCCTAGGGGGAGCCGCTCTTGGGGCAAGTAAGTTCTTTACCACTGAAAATCAAGGATGAGGTGGGATCAGGGGTATTTTACATTTTAAATACTACTTACAATACACTATTAGTGTCATGCACTTATATGCATATTATATATATATATTTAAAGTGTGAGTGTATAAATATGTGTGTGTATGTACATATGTGAATACACACACAACCATAGAGCAGGAGAGAGGGAGGGAGACAGAGCCCCCACGCTCGCTGGCCAGCTGCTCTGCCCCAGGCACCTCGTGCTCTGAAGCTTTGATCCAGCAGGCCTCTGTGCAGGTGTTTTAGCTCAGCACTGTGCAGAAGCTCAAGGTAGACAGTGGGAATTTTCAGGCAGAGGGATGGTGGCTTTTATGCTGAGAGCCTGGCTCTGCAGAGGACAGAGAAAAGGTATCTGCCACCCAAGGTGGTGTTGATTCCTGCAAAACTCTTAATATAGTCACACATTCGAGTGTCATTTTGCCTTTTCTAGAATGTACATTTGCCCTCTGCTGAAAGTGCTATAGAAGTGAAAGAAGCCTTTTGTTTTTGGCACCTAGACATTTGGGGGCAGAAGTTGTGCAGAGCTGGACCTAGAAACGTCTTTGGGTAAGGCCAAATGAAGAGTAACCTTGTGAGCTTCTACTTTGCTTTCTTGCAGAAGAATCATTTGGCCTTAGAGACCCTGGTTCTGAGGCCCTGCTTCAGTGGCAGAAAGTGCTCAGCAGCCCGAACACGTGGACCGACCTTTCACTTGTCCTGCATCCAAACAAGGAGCGCTTCAAATCATAAGTGAGATTACAGCACAACAACTTTTCCTTCCCTCCGTGTATTAGAATATGAATTCAAGTGGCATGTGCATTCTAGGGAAAGGTGTTCTAACAACAGTACCTCTGCTGGCTTTTGGAGAATAAAGTTACCTGTTCAAAGGTGTGTGATGCACTTACTTAAGGTTTTAATTCTCCAAAAGTTGAGGTTTTGTTGCCTGTGTCTCTAGAATCGGTATAGAGTAAGTGTTAGTATAAGGCAAGTCTTAGCTCTTCAGGAGTGGTAAGTAAGTGCAGTCTGAAATGCCTCATGCTAGCGAGGCAATCTTAGCCCTATGATATGCAGCTTTCCATTTCTGTGTACAGATATGGAGCTAGTTTAGTTCTTATTTAATTGTAATCACAGATGGTAATACCTCAGAGATGACAAAATCCTGAGCCCGCATCCTGAAGGGGACTAGGGCCTTTCAGTCTGATTGTGTTGCATCACATGCAGCTAGAGAGAGACACCAACTAGATGAAAGGTGCTTAACTGCTGCCCCTGGACGAAGGTCGCCACCTCTCCGCACTTCACCTGTGTTGACGGTGCCAGCAGGGCTCCACGGTGCCCTAGGAGGCTTTGGTCCATGTGAACGCACCTCCTTCAAATGGGTGCAGTATCAGCAGCCTTAAACTGTTCCAAAATACTCATTTTCCCTCCCTAACAGGAACGTGGCAACCTCAGCTAAGGAATTAAGAACAAGGAACTCCCTACAATGGTATTAACAGATGCCAGGTGAAAATCCAAGGGTTCTCTGAGAGCCAATGCCCAACATGGCCAGCTGCTCCCTATGGCAGATGGAGCAGGATGAGGGTTTTGCTGAACTTATCACTTATCACTCTTCATAGGTGCAAACGCCAGGCCAAGGCCCCATGTGTCGCTTCACACAGATGGGCGGCACAGGCCGCAGAAGCTTTACACAAACAGCTGTAACTAGCACTGTGGTTTTACCTCTTTGGTGAAGAAGAGCAGCACAATGATCATGATAACAAGTATTATCCTTTACTGCTTTTCCAGGGCAATGTGCATTTCCTTAAGGACGTAAGAGTTAGACGTACAGATTGACAGGCTAAACTCAGGAACCGAAATGGCAGCAGTTCATACGAAACACACCCCATACAAGAACATGCAAGTCCAAGTCCTTTGTTACCTTGCAGATCTTTTATTTAGATGTGTGCTGCTGCAAATAATATTAAAAAAACAAACCCACACACAATAAGATTTAACTCGAGTACAAAGCAGCATGGATGTTGTAAATGGAAGAGCTGACAACATACTGTATCTCACTTTCTAACAGATTTTCAAAGAAAAGGGGATATTAGTGGGGAAGGAGTGATCACAGAAATGCTCTCTAACAGAGAGAATACAACTGTGATATAAACAAACAGTCCCTTCATGTTTGGAGTCTGAAACTTTAAATCAAACACTTAAAAAATTAGAAAATTTGTTAGAAAAATAGGTGCAGTAAAATTGTATATATTGGATCATGTGTACATATCACAATTTCACTAAGTACAAAAATGATCTTTACAAATAATGCTTTATAGTAAATAATCAGTTATACTGCTATTGCAGTACATCAGACTACGGTGTTGTCTAGGCATTTAGTAAGACTTGCATCTGTAAAAATCTGAAAAGTAACAAAATATACAGAGCAAAACATTCTCCCTTTTAAACTAGTATTACAATCCATGTATTACCTGTTTTTATATATATATATATATATATATATAAATACTACACTAAAACTGATCAGTATTGAAGCTGGAATGTAAACACGGTAGTGTATTAGATTCCAGCAAAGCCTTTGCCTAGTTGTTGTGCAAGGAGGGTAGCCAAGAGAATTCCCATGCCACGTTTCTGAGCCGTCACTGCAGAACCTCTCCTGCTGACAGGAGCAACCAAACAGCCTCACTTCTAAGTGAACCAGCTCCCAGGTGTTGTCGGTTGTCTTTTTTTGGAGGTGCAGGGGGAAGGAGAGGGAGGAAAAACAAACACAACAAACAGGGGCTGCGGGCACCCGCGTGTGTATGCACAGAGGTGCGTGCAGAGCCCGAGTTCTACAGTCTATCTTCTCAACAGTCTTCGTGCTCTAACTAAAACCAAAACAAACAAAAAAAGCAACAAAAGACATATGGCACAATATTCATCCACAATTGCTTATTTTTAGACCAACTGAATCCAGGACCTGCCACAGGACATGTATCTTTGACTAGAAGCACGGCCTACCAGCCTTTGCCTTGCTTAAAGGGTGATGCAACATAAGGCCTTTTGGCACTAAGCAGGGGTTGCCAAAATCAGTGGAATGGCAATTTTTTAACCACACCGCATTTAGGAGATGGTAGGAGATAAAGAGGAGAGTCAAAAGCCTCTGCATTTAGAGAACAGTTGATAAATATATCGTACAGTGACCCCTGCTCAAGAAAAACAAAAGACACAAGAAAGCAACCCCCCCCCAAACAAGAACACAGCCTTAAGATCTGCCTTCCCCACAGTCCTGCCTTGCTGTAAGAAGGTATTACATGGCCTCAAACTCATCAATTCGCTGCTTGGTGTTGCCTTGCCGGATCTGCCGCAGTGTCTTGTACTTGTCGCGGCCCTGCCGCATGTTCTCCGAGTGGATAATGTCATTGTGGGTCCTCTTGTTTTCATCTCTAGCCTGGGCCAGCTCATCTGTCAGCGTCTGCAATGTTAAAAAGAGAGGATCTTGACTACGTTTAGACATGAGAAGCTTTGCAACTCGTGAAAGCAGAACTTTTGGTGAGATGTGGCAGCCCGTAGGCTGCTGGACAGATAGGGACACAGATGCAACATCTGCTGTCTGTAAGCACTGAGGTACAAGAAACATTCACCATGCCTGAAGTCTGAACAGCGAGAGCAATCGTTATGTGCATTGCCATTGATTCAGGGTGCCTTACAGAAACTGAAAAGGAAGGGAAACGATCACGCTCAGTCTGTTTAGTCAAGTGCTTAAATAATCCATTTTCCAGGCACAATTTYAAAGAATCATAGAATCACAGAACGCTTAAGGTTGGAAGGGACCTCCAGAGGTCATCCGGTCCAGCCCCCCTGCACACGCAGAGTCACCTACAGCACRTGGCACAGGGCTGCGTCCAAGCGGGTTTGGAACATCTCCAGAGAAGGAGACTCCACAACCTTGCTGGGCAGCCTGKTCCAGGGCTCTGCCACCCTCACTGTTAGGAAATTTTTCCTCAAGTTCCTGTGGAACTTTTGGGGCGTCAATTTGTGGACAGTTCCTCTAGTCCTATCGCTGGCCACCAGTGAAAAGAGGCTGGATTTGCTTTATTGCTTCCCCTCCTCTCCAAACACTTCCTTACCCTCAGCTGCCTCTGCACGCGTTCGTTCTTCTCTGCTTCCGTAATGCGTTTCTCCTCATTGCGGTCATCCCGGATGCCCTCGCTGGAAAACTCTGCACTGTAGGCAGAGTACTCGGAGCCTTCGTCGTGCAAGTTATCGTGGACGTGGTAGTTCACAGGCTCATAGACAGGCAGGGGTGGCGGAGGCGGAGCTGTCATGACCAACTGTAGCTCCTCCTTTGTCTTCACCAGGTCATCCTGGGCCTCCTTAGCCTATGGAAAAAAGACAAAAATATTTTAATGTGTTCCTGGCCTATCTCAGCTTAACAAATGCTTTGACCCTTATATTCACRGTTCTGCCTTCTGTGAGCAAATGGACGAAATGAAGTCGTCATCACTCTCTGCAGCCAACAGAGACTGCATTTCATTACATTCCTATTTTCTTACCAGACCAGTTCCTTGCTAGGCATAGGCGGCACCTAGAAATAGGTGGCACTGTGTGCTGTGCAGGGGAGCTAAGCAATCAGTCTTCCTCCAATACAATATAGTCTATAAATAGTTTTGTAAGAAGTTACATTTGTCTTTGTTCTGTTCTCCATTTGAACAGTTGTATGTCGTAAATACAAGTTCAACAGAGCAAGAACTTTTCCTGAGTTGCCATTTGGAATGAAATTACGTGTTAGGATGTCAGGCTCCTTGCCTGCCTGGTGATTCCACCTCCGATTCGGTCTGCAGCTGCCAAGACCCTGGGACCAAGCACTACTCAGTTTTGCAGAATTTTCATTTAAATGGTTTTACTGCAGAAATCATTCAGCTCTCCAGACCCAGCAGGTCATTGACACTAGTGCGCACACTCAAGCCTGTTGTACCTGTGGTGTGGCTGCCCTTGCAGCATTTCCTTTTCCAAGAAAATGATTAAACCACTGGTTTTTTTTTACATGCTTCCATTTTGAATTTGGACTAAACATCAGGCTTGTTGGAGGAAGGCTGTTCTGGAGACATCCCACAAATTCATCACATAACTCCACCCTTTTCTGCTGTGCTAAGGATGTTTCTCCCCACATGTTCAACAGAGCTCTGTCAGGCTAAACACCACAGCAGGCTGAAATGCGGAACTTCAGCACAACTTTGCAAGGCAAAGATACTCACTCTGAGCTGCCACTCTTCAACTTCAGTCTCCTTACGCTTCCTTGCCTCTTCCAGGAGCGCAATCTTTGCTGTATACTCTGCGAGCTCTGTAGCCTGTTGAATAACAAAACTGGAATTATAAGGACTCCTGAAAAAAAACTATTTTTTGACTGAGAAAAGTGTCAAGTGTTACACTCCACCGTGATACAGACTAAACAGGAAATCAAGAATGAAAAGCACATTGCTTGTGACAGAAACCAGCGCTAGAATGACGCTGTCACACAGCACTACTGCATTGGTTTCCTGGCTTTGCCTTGTTCAGAGGGAATAGTAATGACCTGGAATGTGTCTTAGCCTCAAAATGACTGGGTCTTACCAGCTGTTCCTGGCTCTTTATCTGGTCAATAGCCTGTCTTTCCAGCTCTTCCTTGGCCTGCAGAGCAGCAAAACGATCGGCTTCCAAGCGTTCTGCTTCCGCCTGGGCTCGTTGCCTCTCCTCCTCCAGCTCAATAGCTCTTTGGATCTGATCCGAGAGCTCTGGGAAGAGACGGTTCAATGTTGTCAGTCCACAGGTCTGACCAAAATGAAGGAACTACAGACGGCCACTAAGGGAACATCAAGTGCCCAACCCCAGCCCCATAACCATGTACCTCAAAGCAGCATTGCAGGATACATCAACTACCTGAATTCAAAGTCAGCTGCATTTTACAATCAAATCTTCTACAAAATAATCACACTAAGTGTGTGTGACATCAACATGTTTCTGTTGCCCCTAATTGACAGTTTACTGTAAGTAACAGATGTCTCCAATCTGCTCAATATGGGCATTAGAACCTTCAGTTTTGCTGGAAAAGCCTGGTCCCAAACTCCTTTCCTTACCAGGAGTCAAGCAAAGAGCACAGAAGAGCTGAGCCCGGCCGCTCGCTGCCCTGGGAGGCCGCCCGAGGCCCGCTCCAGCGGCAGGGCAGCGCAGCCGGGTCCCTGCCGCGGCCCGCGGCAGAGCAGCGGGTTTTGCACGAGCGCTCGGCGTCTGCGCTGCTGGGCAGGGGCTGCCCGGGCCGCGCGGGGAGCCGGTCCTGTCCCAGCCACGCAGGCAGCTACTCGGGCTCAGCGTGGGCAGCGCCCCAAGCAGCCCTTCTGCAGAGCACAGTGTGCATGGCAGCCAGCACGGGTACTTTACCTTTCTCTGCCTTCTGAGTCTTCACTTCRTACTCTTGCAGCCTCAAGAGCAGCTCCTCCTTCTCCCTCAGCATTTGCTCCTTCTCCCTCTCAATTGTTTCCCTCTTCTTCTTTTCATTTTCTAGTTGTTGCCTGTTAAGCAGATTTCACACGCAAGGTTATTGTCAGAGCTAAGCTACAGCGAGGCAAGCAAGCTGGCTGGACACTTCTCTAGGCAGTTCAGTGGGAAGCAACTATGAGACTGTGGCAAAATAAGGGAATATAACTTGCTATAAAAGAGAAATACATATAGGCTGTTACTGAACGCTTCGGGATTTTTGTTGAATTTTGGATGCCCTGTATTGTATTTTGTTGCCTGCCTCAGAAATTAAAAACACCAAATAACTACTAGAGGCAGATACAAAAAAACAGGACTGTGTAGTGTGCTAAAGAGGAAAGTTGTTTTGTTACTGCTATCTTGGGGAGATCAAGCAGCTATAAAAGCAAGAGCACTAAGGAATAAAGAACAAGTCATAAACACAGGAGAAAGGCRGCATGATTCCTGATCATAAAGAACCCAGAGAGAGTGGTTAAAGTCCACAGGACTCATGCATCCCTTTCCCTCGCTTCCCAGAGGTGTCTCAGCCCTCTCTTCCCATTTCACACTGTACACACGTGCTCCCTGTGAAGCTTTCCCCTTACTCCCAGCCATGCCACGGTCCAACACACAAGCCACGTCCTAACAAACAAGTGGGAGAAAACCCTCCCTAGGTGACCTCCCCGCATGAGACAGCCCTCTGTGCGTTCCCCTGCGGTCTCCCCAACACGGAGGAGACACCTGGGGCACACCTGGGGCACAGGCAAGCCCGACTCAGCGGTGCCACTCCCGAGTCACCTCCCTGACAGCTGGAGCTGAGGGCCAGCCTAAGCCCGGCTTGAAGCGGGACAGCTCTCAGCCTTAACCGGATGCCACCCTGTGCCCTGTGCTCTGGGTGTCCCTGCTGGAGCAGGGGGGTTGGGCTAGARGATCCCTAGAGGTCCCTTCCAACCTCAACCATTCTGTGATTCTGGGGGTGTGTGTGGGTGAAACTCACGTTACGTTGCCTCCTGCTGCCCGCGGGTGCAGCTCTCTGCTGAGCCCTGGCAGTTTTGCATCGTTCCCCCTGCCCTGCTGCCCCTGCTGTCTGTATTCACGCCCACCTTTCCAGTTGCTTCTGGTGCTTCTCCTCCCGGGCTTGGGCTTTCATCTGTTGCACCTCGATGGTGTCTGGCTTCCTGCGCCGCATATACAGCTCATGGTTGCCCATGCAGAGCTGCAGGATCCTCTTGTTTATTCTCAGACGAGGGGCATAAAACACAAAATCCTAGAAGACAGAGAGCACAGACAGTCTGTCAGGCACAGCAGTCTACACACTTTCTCTTCTGCCAACTGACTGCAGACATGTCATCTCACCACCAACCTCGCTATGACTAAGACATACACCGGGTATTTAAATTTAGTGCAGGAATTGCCAGTATCAGCTAGAACCTCATAAATATCTCTGTTTAGGGGAGTATCCTGGAGTTTGAAACTGTTACACAATGTTCTGGGCTGGCAGTTGACCATCGGGGCACCTGGTDTATCTCTAGCACTAAGACAGCATGTGAATAAGCAGTTTGGACTTTTCAGGTTTGCTCAGTTTTCTGCCTGGAAGAGCAGAAACAGATTGATAAAATAACAGAGTAGGATATTGGAGTCAAGTATTCAAAGCATCATCTGTGCCCATTTCAGGGAAAGGTGAAGTCCCCACCACGCAGAAATACCCTCCAGTATTATTCTTTCCTCTCCATTGCATTACTTAATGAAGTTGACAAAGCTGTTACAACACCATCAAATAAGTAAAAACAAAACAAACCAACCCCTCAAACTGATTAGGTTACAAGCAGCACTGAAACCTGASGGTTTTGAAAGTTTCTGCAAACAGAACAGCCCACATTCCTTATCACCTGTGTTATGAACACTCTTTTTCAGCATTTATATCGGACTGGCTCTTCCAGAAGGAAACCCACCAAGAGAGGTGGGCAGAGGGCCACACTTCACCTGCCTGATTCCTCAAGACTTCGCAGCTATTTAGAGCTCACAGCGCCAGCTGAGCTTTCACAAGGAACAGGCTCTGCATTTCTGTGCTGTTTTTCTGGACACTGGAAGGATGGGAGGGATGGGCAATGGGCAATATCACCAGAAGAATAATTTCCTTTGCTTCGAATTGCTCTCACTGAGAGCAAGGAGAAGAACTGAAGTGGGGCCTATGAGGGCTGCACACTTTGCTATGGCAGCATCAACTATAGGCCCGGGTTCAAAAGCACAGGCTGTAGCTATCTCTGGAAAAACTCGGAGTTGTTACACCAGAAACAATGAAAAACGCTCCAGGCTCTATTAATTTCAGCATAACTTGACTGATAACAACAGGTTCTCTTCAATCTATTTTTCTTGACTTATTCACATACCAGTTTCAAAAGATGCAGCCAGCCAAGCTGTGCTGTGCTTCCCCYGCCCAGCAATCCTGCCGGAGGCACCCGAGCTGCTCAAGGCCGGAGTCAGCTGGGGCTGTGCGCTGTCCATCAGCCCTCCTGCTTCTGACAACTATTTTTAAAAACAGTTTGTGTACATTGTAAAGAATGGGTCCTATCTCCAAGCAACATTCACCTCAATGAAAGCAAAAGCTGGAGCTGTGGAAGGTGCCTGTGTTTGACCTTGAACGCTGTAACCARGGGACGAGGCGTTCACAAGGGAACACAAAAGTATTCCCTGCATTTCCTCATTCCCAGCCTCCCGCCGCTGCGGCGTGACTGGGAGCMCTGAGGATCACATGCTGAAGATGTTGAAGGTCGTGGGCAGCCAGGCCTAAAAATTACAGCGTTTATTCCAAGCAAGGACTCTACCCATTAAACTAATGTCCATTTAAACACTGACATGGAGAATCCTCCAAATTAAAGGGTAACTTCAATCCCAYATCTACAATGTATTGAGTTAGTGCTTGCCTTTTCTGAAGACAAGGCACGCATATGAAATGGTCCAGACAACTTCCTGGATGCTAAAATTGAGTGTCCAGATGAATTCTTCTCTTCCATACATTGCTTTAATCATAACACCACCCAGAGAGACAAGCGCAACGTGCCCACAAAGGACTGAAAGGCAGCYGAGGTTTTCAGTGCTAACATCTTTGTGGCTCAGCCTCTTGAAAGGCTTCATTTCAAACCGGGCCAGCTTTACTGTTGGGGCGTGGATGCAGAGCTATGGTCCACACACCATACTCAATATGGTCAATATTTTGTACCGTGTGCGATGTGCCCGTAATCACAGCGGGGCTCTCCTACTGAGCAGTCCAGCCCCGGCACAGATGAGCTTCCTATTTGCCTGGTGTTTTGTTATTTATACAGCATTACAAAAAGAAAACCAGCCCTACAAAAGCCAGGCTGCTATCTGGAGGGAAGGATGCCTCACCAGGAGTTCTGCAGCACATCTTTTCAATTACTGTGAAGATGTTTTTCTTTTTTGGTTAAAAAGATTCAWGAGCCATCACCCTTTACCAAAGCCAAGGCACTTCGTATTTCTGCAGGCTGTATTTATGCACCAAGGCCATGTACTAGGGGGGCAAAAAGGAGACCAAGAACACAAACAAAACTCATGGCCTTTCTGAAACTATTGGGATGGTTGAGAAGACTGATAGAATGAAATACATCTACACCAGCTACTCCACTTACAATTCTCAACAGCTTTAAATAAGTTGCCAATTTTTCACTGAAACAACTCTGAAAAGATATGTTTTTAAGTACTGAAAAGCCACATTCACAAGTAGCTACATTTAAGTTATTTACAGAAGTCATATGTCTGCCATTTACCAAGTATGAGAAGGTCAATAAACACCATGGTTCTTTCTTAATTTTCTCCTGCAAAGTTTCAGCAGGATGGAAGAGAATAAGGAGCATGAAGAAGGGATACTGCAAGTGTCCATGTAGTTTTGCAGTAGCATTTGCATGCATTTTGTTTTTTAATTAAGAAGCTACTCATCAACTTCAGTGCACTCAAGGAAACAGAYAGAAGTGGTCTCACAGTGTAATGTGACTACATCAAAGACTTGCAAAATCTGTGAAGAATTCTCAGATTTAACTATAAAATTAGCTATGACTTTCTCCAGGAAACATACTATGTACACTGTAAGCTCTTTATCTATACTGAACAGAAAAAGAGAGAGCTCTAAATGTGCTCTAAATACTGAGGCTCGTTTCGCATCCAGCGTATCTGTGGTTGACTTCAGAGATGACTGCAGTTTGCAAGGAAACACGATCAGCAGTTCCTACACAGCAACTAAGAACTCATTCTGGATCTACTTACAGGAGCTTTCTTGTCAATAGGCTTTATGACAAACTTCTTGTCATTGAAAGAGATGTTCCTGATTTCACTCCAAGGGAAACCAATCTTTGGTGTCAACCTGGAAGGAAACAAAGTATTTTTAAGCATTGCTACWATTATTCCACCTTGCTTCCAAAACACAAAGATCCTAGCTCTTTCCTTGCATGTAAACTGCCCTTCCAGCCCATCCCACCAGCCTCAAAGCAGAACTTCACACACTGATCTTATGACGAGCTCTGCCACACAATCCGCTTCCACGGGAAAACCCCCCCGCAACAGAGGCAAGGTTCAGGCTCTGAGCTCTTCCTCACTGCTTCAGAGTTCAGGCTGGGGGGTTGTTCAAAAATAAGCCTCACTAATCATTCAAGTGTATCTTTTCTTTTTTAATTTCTTCAGATTCAAGCATATAAAAAGCACCAAGTTATTCATCAGATGTTTCCCAGCTATTCCAGTATTTCACCTTTCAGGTACCTGCCCAGGTCTGCAACAAATTGAAGGGCTTGTAGAATTTCACTGTAACATTTTTTTTTAACCTACCCACTTCCAATATTTCATTTTATGTTTAAGCTCACATTATTTTTCTCTTATCAAGGGAGGTGCTAGCAGAGGTGCTCTAGAGATAGCAYCTAACAATTAAAAATTATGTCTTTAATATATAAGAGTAAGCTATCTTGTTAGAGCAAAGCAATAAGGTGAAAATGAAGGTATCAGCATTCTGCATCTAGCATAAGAAAAAGTCTGACCCCATCAATAGTTTCCCCGACACGCTCAGAATACTGACAACTACTCCTGGCAAACAGCTTGAAGATACAAGTATTTAATGCTTAGCACTTCAAGAATTAAAGATTAATTCTTGTGAATTAATCACAATCATTAATTCTAGTGAATCACTAGAACTCTTTAACAATAATTTCTACAGAGCTCAATAGTTAAGGAATAAAGCCTGAAATTTTGGAGGAATTTGCCTAATCTTCAAAGACAAAAAGCTATTGTCTAGCATGATTTTGTTGGGCCCAAACATTAAACAAACAAACAGACAAACAAGAAAAACACTTCAGGAACAGAACATCTCCTCCTCAAAATTTACTACTCCCTGACCTGTAACTCAGCTTCATGATTGTGCAAAGTGTGTGGAATACTAAGAATGTAATACAATAATAATGTAAGAATGTAAAGAAGAAAATGGCTTGATTAAACTAAGATWAAGTAATTGTGCCAGTGTCCTCTAGCTCGTTTAAGAGCTTCAACCCACATAATACAGTGGGAGACAACCAACACCTCATGACCACTATGAGATTCACATTTCTACTGCAGATTAAATCTGAATATCAGATTACTGATATTCACCCCGTACAGAGGCTTGCTCACCTATAGCATAGTCTCACTTTCCTCAGTTTTCAGCAACGAAATATTTGCTTTCTCACCAGCCCCTAGGTTTTGCTCATACAAACCACAGGTGGGGTATATATCACTGTTTTGCTAGTCCCCACATCTACCCCAAGGACCTAATTGTATAGCAGCAAGGGGGATGGTAGAAACATGTAGTTTATTCCAGTGCTATATTCAGTTTGCAAATGCTCTTGATAGTTCTTTAGAGTCAAGGGCTATATTCTGCCTTCATTTTGCAGCTCGAAAAACCTGTTTGTGTGACCTTGGTTACATAGCAAGACTAGTCATTCAGGACTGAGGTATTACATGAGCGAAACTACCTTTCTTTCAAGTGACACTCCTTGTTTTCTCGGTGACAGCACATATTAACATTGCAGAAGGAAAAAAAGAAAACAAAAAACCCACACATTTCTCTCTGCCATCTCAAAAAAAGCTCCAGAGTTACAGTTGATATTTGAGTTGCATTTGAGTGTTTCTGCACGCAAAGACAGAGGGGATTTCCCCCATTTTGTGTTACAAAGATTCTGTTACAAATTCAGAAAAGGACAGAAGGACAGAAGGACAGAAGGACAGAAGGACAGAAGGACAGAAGGACAGAAGGACAGAAGGACAGAAGGACAGAAGGACAGAAGGACA